AAAAGAATTGCTGTGAATGGGAAGGAGTTCAATGTAGCAACACAACTGGGCACATCACTATGCTTAGTTTAACCACATGTTCGTATGACCGTCCTTTTATCTTAAAAGGTAACCTTAGTCCTTCTCTATTTGAGTTACAGCATTTAATTTATTTAGACCTCTGTGGCAATAATTTCAATTTAAGCCACATTCCAGAGTCTATTGGTTCACTCAACAAAATACACCATCTTGATCTCTATTCTTGTAATTTAAGTAGATCTCTTCCTAGTCAGCTTGCAAACCTCACAAGTCTGCAATATCTTGATCTTGGCGATAATAACTTCAACAGTGTCAAAAATCTTGAGTGGCTCTCTCGTCTTTCTTACTTGCAATACCTTGATCTGAGTGAAATCGACCTTAGTAAGGTCAACAATAACTGGCTGCAAGTAATTAATGAGCTTCCTCATCTAACTAACCTGTCTCTAGATGGATGTAATCTTCGAGATGTCATTCCCCAGTATTTCCCCATAATTAATACTTCTAGTACTTCTCTCGTTCACCTTGATCTAGAAAGCAACAATTTGACGGCTTCCACATTCCAATGGTTGTTCAACTTTAGCAACAACCTCGTTAGTCTCGACTTGGGTTCTAATCAATTGGAAGGAGGCATTCCAAAGTCCTTTGGGAACCTGTGCAAATTAAGGTACCTAGACCTACTTGGTAACTATCTTGATGGAATGCTTCTTGAACTCATTGGTAACTTATCTGGATGTCTACAACTCTCCTTGGAAGAATTGTATTTGGGTGGAAATAAAATTAAGGGACCCTTGCCTGATATGATAAAAAACTTCCACTCACTGCGAGTGTTGGATCTTTTCGACACTCAACTAAATGGTACTGTGCCCGAAAGTATTGGACTCCTATCAAACCTTGAGGGCATATATATTTCTTCCAATTCTTTGAATGGGACTATTGGTGAATCACACTTTTCAACACTATCTAAGTTACGGGCGTTGTCCATGTCTTCTAATTCTTTGAGCATCAACTTTAGCAATGACTGGATTCCTCCATTCCAATTGGTTTTGATATTTCTTAGGTTGTGCAAGTTGGGCCCAAAGTTTCCAAGCTGGTTAAAGTCCCAGAGAAATTTTTCTTATCTTGATATCTCCGGAAGTGAGATTTCAGATAGCATCCCAAAGTGGTTTTGGAACCTATCTTCTAGAGCAGTTCATCTGAATCTTTCTTCCAATCATATCTATGGAATTTTGCCAGATTTGTCAACACAAATTTCTAATTCTTTTGGCCTTAGGATAGATTTGAGTAAAAATAAGTTGGAGGGTCAATTACCAATATTCCCTGCTAATGTCACATCCATAAGCCTATCAAAAAATAAGTTCAATGGGTCAATTTCTTCTCTCTGCACCATAACTGGCGGGAAACTTGAGTTCCTTGATGTTTCGCACAATCAGCTATCTGGAAAGCTTCCTGATTGCATTATGCAATGGACAAGTCTAGTGATTCTGAATTTGGCTAATAATCATTTATTTGGGAAAATTCCAAGCTCTATTGGATCATTGTATCATCTTGAATCGTTGGGTTTGCAAAACAACAATTTCTCTGGAGAAATGCCTCGGTCTCTAAGAAATTGCAGTGCCTTGCAATTTTTGGACTTGAATTATAATAGCTTCTCTGGAAAAATACCAACTTGGATTGGAGAAAGGCTAAGTTCACTAATTTTCCTTCTTCTGAGATCCAATAATTTCAGTGGAGGCATCCCCTTGCAGCTATGTTGGTTGACAAATCTTACACTGCTAGACCTCTCCAACAACAATCTATCTGGAAACATACCATCATGCATCCATAATTTCACTACATTAGCACGACAGGAGAGTTCAGCCCATGATCATTATTTTATAGACAGTGATGCAAATTACGGTTACTACAAAGTAAGCTACATTGACAAAGCATCTGTAATGTGGAAAGGAATGGAGCGTGATTATGAGAATGGAAATCTCAAGACTTTGAAGATTATTGATCTTTCAAGCAACAAATTAACAGGAGTGATTCCAGTGCATATATCAGTTCTCTTCCAACTGGTTGAATTGAACTTATCAAGAAATCAGTTGACAGGAAGGATTCCTTCAGATATGGGGCAGATGAGACAGTTAGAATCACTCGATCTGTCATTGAACCAGCTTTCAGGTCATCTTCCTTGGAGCATCTCCCAATTAAATTTCCTCAGCACTTTGAATCTGTCCTACAACTTCTTTTCAGGGAGAATCCCATTATCAACCCAGATGCAGTCGTTTGATGCTTCTTCATTTGTCGGTAATCCTGCACTCTGTGGGCTTCCTCTAACACCAACTTGCCCAGATGATGAAAAATCAGAGG